TGTATATGTATATATATATATATATATATTATATATAATTATATATATATATTATATATATATATAATTATATAGAATGCCCAGAGAGAGACCGGCTGTAATCTTGACAAAACTCCTTATTCTCAATACAATTTACAGACTTAAACAACAATTTCAATTTGTTTAGCAATTAAAGAATTATGTTTATTAAATCCTTTTTAAGCACACAGAAAATATATTTAGGTAAGTTAAATAGATTTGCAAACAGTTTTGAATTTATTTCAATTTTTTTTTTATTAGAGCCTCTATTCAAAAGGCCTTATTAATTTAAATATACACCCATCAGCTTCAACGGTTGTAGTCATCAACAGTTAGTATCAGGCTGGTACGTAGAGTCCCTGTCCTATTTTTGATGAGTCACTCCCATTTCCAATATGATCACAATGTTTAATAAATTTTGTATGCTAGATACTACACTAAGAAACGAAATATTATATTTGCATGGCCATCTTAAACACAATCTCTGGGGAATCCCCTGTAGCATGACAATGTAGTAAATGGATAATAAGAAGTATTTTATCAGCGGTGAACAGTTTCCATGGAATGTCTGAAGTGACATGGAATATTAGCTGGTAAATACAAGTAATTTGGGAATAAGCTTTTTGACTCATAGTAAGTGCTTCCCAGTGGAATAGAGTGAAATTGCACAGAGGGAAGAATCTGCTACCAGTAGAGTTGGCTGTGTGACATATGTGCTGCATGCTCTTGTCTAAAGTGATTTCCCTACATTTTTTAACATGATGCATAAGATGTATAGTGATTTTGACATCTTTTGACAATATTTGCCTTTTATACTTTTGTCTAAGATGACATTCATACCCTTACAACACAATACATATAATAATAATAATAATAATAATAATAATATTTACAAACCGCACAAATCCACTGCAGTAGTGCTCAAGGCCCTACAGGAGGAAGGAAGCATATTGGAGGCATATTGGAATGGGTAGGCCTATGAATGTCATGTTTTTACAGCACTTGCGTTTCATACTTTTGTCTTGCCTGATATTCATACCCCTTCTTCCAGCATGATGCACTTATTACACACAATAATAGACCCACCGATAGTCTGATATTTGACTTCATTAGTGTTCTGTATGTCTTGTCTAAAGTAATTTTATTAGACCCAACATAAAAAAGGCCCTGTGCATAGATAGAACATTGACAATCAGGATTCAAACACAACACAGACCTGTCTTGATGATATCCAGTTGATGGCTTATAAACTCCACTAATTAGTAATCTTCTCCAGTGTAGCAGATAGCAAAATTGGAACGTAGAAACACACGAGTCACTGTTATGTGGTGAATATACACTCTGAATTCTGAAAATGCGGGCATGGATGTTGACAACCGTACTGTTAATTCTGAGCAAATCTTTCAGTAAATAAAGTATCCCAATATTTCATAAATGCATTTCCTCCTGCAAAGTTCCGTCCTTATTCCCCCACCTATCTATTAAAGAGGATCTATAGTAAATGTATTTTAT